ACACCTGGACAAGCAGGGCACACCTGGACAGGTCGCCACCTCCTGCAGCTCAGTGTTCATGTTTGATTTCTTCTGGGTTGCACTAAACAATGCAGATTTGATTTTGTTGATGTTGTTGTTTAGACAGAACTGGTTCAGTGCAAATGACTTGTTTCTGCAGGTTTATAACATCAGACACGTAGAATAAAGTGATTTGATGTGAAGGGTTGCTCACAGTCAGCTGGACGTCACAGGTGAACTGTGTGATCGAGGCTCTACAGGTTTGTTAGAGACAACCAGCTGCTCTGTGGCAGGGCTGAGATGGTTCTGTTTATTTTCTACCTTCCGTCTCATTAATCTGCTTCAATTAAATAAAATAATATGAGGTTTACTTTCCCGTCCCTTGGGGCTCTGGTGTCCTTAAAAGGTGTTCAGTGGATGTTTGGGACAGCAGAGAGACTTCTGGTCGTCTGGCGGCTGCAGACCGAAGCAGGAAGCAGGAAGCAGGAAGCAGGAAGCAGGAAGCCACCTGCCACTGATTAGATCGATGAAGGAGGTCAGGCGGGCTGGCAGCAGCAGCAGCAGCAGCAGCAGCAGCAGCAGCAGCAGCAGCGTGGGCCGCCACACGCTGAAGTGATGATGCTGCAACCTGCTGCTGCTGCTGCTGCCTGAGTCACAGCACCAACCAAAACCAGGTCAGAGCCGCCGCTTCCTGCATCACATCACCGACGGCTGCAGCGCCACAGGAGCTCCAGCAGAGGGGACGGAGCGGCAGGCGGGTCAACGGGCGGTCCGGGGGCCGCTCCAGGACGTGGGCTTGGGGCCACGCTGGACCTTCTCCTGTTGCATCACACATGAAAGCAGCTGTGACGCAGGTCGGGCCGTCGTGACGTAACTCAGCTCAGCTCGGACCAGAACTCTGCTCACATGTGAAACAACACGGACCTGAACCGCACAGAACAATAAAGAATGACTACATAGAAACTGTACAGGACAATATTCTGTGATACACTATGAAGAGACGGGTCTGTACTTTATAACATATATGATCCTCTACAATATGTAACAGATAAAATGGTTGAATCCAGTCTGAACAAACGACAGGACGATAAGAGTCACCCGCAGCATGTTGAAAGAAGGAAGATAAGAAATGACAAGATGCAGCACGACACAACAAGATCCCCTCAGGTACACAATATCACATAAAATAAATACAATAAAATAAAATAAAATAAAATAAAATAAAATAAAATAAAATAAAATAAAATAAAACAAATAAAATAAAATAAAATAAAATAAAAT